AGAAAGCGGGGGGTCCCCCAGCACCGGCCCTGTAGCCAGCAACAGCAGCAGGGACACTGGCAGCAGCAGCCGGGCAGAGTGAGCCACTGCTGCGGAGGCTGCCAGGAAGCCAAATCCATTTGCTGTGCTGCCTCCACCCTGCTGCATGCCCAGCGGTGGCAGACTGGCTTCACGCACACCACAGGCTGGGCTGCCCCACTATGCCTGAGCAGGGTGGGGCCAAGGGACCTGCCATGGGCTGGATAGAACCCTTGGCTGGCTGGATCCAGCCTCCCCCTGGTAGCGACAAAGTAAGAAAAGTAACTTTCAGAATATTGCAGAGCACTGGTTGTTCATGGTGATCTGTATGCATATTTACAAAGGACTTAAAATATATCATATTAAGTGATATTAAGTAAATACCCATGATTTTGTTGTAAAAAACCTTTACATCTCTCCTCTAAATTACATATCTCAACAGAGCTGCAGATGAAATGTCACCTTTGTCTTTCATGTGAGAGAAAGAAAGACTTAAATTTAGTTCCTCTGTATCTGAAAGCCCAATATAATTCCATGCACATGCAATATAGCACATTTTATGTAACACATTCAGTTATTTAAATTCATATCCTATGTTGGTCTGCCATCAATTTAACCTGTTTATTTTTGTAGGTAGTTTTCCCCAAATGGTCCCCAAAATTGTTTTAGGTAAAGAAAGCTAGTAGAGAAGGCCAGGAAAAAAATCTTTTTGTTTAATGGTACTTGAAATGTTATTTTCTTTATTGCATAAGTCAGTTCTGCCATTGCTGAAGTCTCCCGATGAATCATAATAGCTCAAGCAATGATTTTAATTAAAAACTTTCTGAAAAAGAATTAGGTCAATAGGCTGGAGATATCTGAAACTGCTAGGACACTGCTTTGTATACATTTTGGCTGACTGTTCCACTTTACACAGATTTTTACAGATTCACAGAAGTTTAGGGCTGGAAGGGACCATGTAAGATCATCAGGTCCAGCCTTCCTTCCTCTTTTCTAGTTGGTGTTCCAAACTTATTTTATATTTGTCCACATAAGAGAATCATTGCCAATTAAATGGTCAATAAGAAGTGAATCAATCATAATGCCTATTGACCAAGGGAGGAAATCATGAAAACAAATCCTTTGTAACAATAGCATTGTACAAAGCGACAGAATGATTGATGACAACCTCACTTAGGATGGTTCAAAAGTAATTCATCTGAAGTCATTGGAACTTACGCAACCAAAGTCAAGGCAAAAGGAAGTGATCTGGGTAGAATGAACTGAATGAATTATTTCACTTTTGTTCACTTCTTCATAAGCATCTTTCAGTTCTCTGTAAGAAATGCAGCCTAAATAATGATAACCCCTTTTAAAAAATATTTTCAACCTAATTTCTGTAGTGGGGTTTATCTGATGGACCTAATAATTGGCTACCCTAACTGTGTGTATAGAGTTTTGGAAATCACTTCCAACATGGGAATCCAAAACTTGGACAATTATTGATTGGGACCTGCCACTCCTAACCAGATGCAGTGGGAGTTGCTTGCATTGTGATTAGGGAAGCAAGACTACAAAGTTATGCAGCTGCCACCGAAAGCTTAACTAGAAGTTTTTGCAGCCTGGGTGTTTAGGGGACTGGGGGAAGGAGGGAGAGGGATGCTTACCTGACCAGGTCCTCCCTGCACTATGGTTGCTTTTCCTATGGCACAATCTCCCTTCACCATAGCTGCTGATGCTGTGATGCATGCTCCCCAGGGGCAAGTGTTCCTGTGCCTCCTCTAAATTGGCACCCAGAATGAGTTCCTTTCTCAACCCTAGTTATGCTACTGGCTGTCATTCTAGTTACCATAATATATTGAATATTCCACCATTGCTCCAACTGAAGCTGTATGACCAAATTTGAGCATTCAAAAGTGACAAATCAAGCTCCCAAGAAAACATGACAATAGCTTAAAAACACACAATGAACTTTATTCAATAGTGATTTTGGGATTCTTTTTATCTGCCCTGTGACTTCTGAACTTTCAGGGTTCCCATTTTGAAGTTTCATTTTGAAACCATAAGGCTAATAATTTTTATTGATATTAAATCAGAGATTCTCATTTAATCATGTAACTCCAGCAGTTAGAAAAAGTGCTAGCTACTGTAAGAATTTCAGGGTAGCTGTGGAACATAAGTATTGATCTCTAACACAAGCTACTAAATATCATTTTTATTAATATTTAAGCAGTCTTAAGTAAACTTGTAACTTGACTTTTGTGACTGAAAAAATGCCACAGGAAATGCAAACCTCCAAAGCCATCATTACCAAGCGCTAATACAAAGGTATTCTAATTCTACGGGACTGTTCTGATGAAACTACATACTGAATCGAGCTTTAAAGAACCTACTCACAGAGTACACGCTACAAAGGCATATTCTTTCTTTTTTTCTCTACCTATTCTATTAAAAAAACACAAACATTACACACAGTCTTACCTCAGGGGAGCATCTTTTCAATAGTTTGACTTCTCCATGGAAGCAGACGAATCCTGGAGTATTTACTGAGTTATCAATTTTAAGTTATGGGAGAGGGCTTTTGATCACTGTATGATACCCTCACATAGTGTCATATGGAACTGGGGGCATTTCATTGCAGTTTCCTGTTGAGAAACAAGAAAAATGACAGAATTGGTAGTGATGGCTGCTGGTTATTTTTGTTTCAGTTTGTGCTATTCTAAGTAAGTGGGCAATTAATACGAGTGGCCCATTATTCCCTCTTAGCCAAGAGAAAGTAACTATAGCATTGGAACATAAAGCCAAGCTTCCACCCAAATATCTTTGAATAAGGTGAAAGTGAGAATAGTAATGTTGTGTGAATGGACACTCTCTCTTCAGTTTCTCAGTTCTAATCCTCAAAGGGATTTTACAAAACACCTTTTGTAGATGAGCCTACAAACTTCACTTCATAAATCTACTGGATACAAAAAATCATGGACTAAATATAGACATTGCATTGATGGCACATTATAACCTGCCTGCCATCTGATAACCCTAGGTAACCTGTCTGCATTTTACCAGCTACATTCTACCACCATTTCTACATTCCTCCTCCTCCCCTGCCCCCACCTGTCTCACACCTATTGTCTTCCATTCCCCCTATTTCTCACTGCCCTGCATTTGCATTTCCACAGACCTGCATTTTGTATATTGACTTTTATTCTACCCAAAAGAGCACACAAACACCAACAGACTCTTCCTATGCCTGAAAAAGGGTGTTTGTGCCTGAAAGTTTTCAAAGAACAAATTTTCCAACTATTTAGATGGTCTAATAAAAGATATCACATCTACCCAAAGAACCTTGTCTGCCAATAGACAAACAACACATTTGAAGTAGTGGGAGTCGATATAGCAAGGATTATATCAGGCTTATCAGACTTAAATGACAATATCTCACTTGAAACTGACACCTATTTCAAGTACCACATTTTTTTGCATATAGCACACACCTTTTTTTTCCCCATAAACCAGAGGCTTGGAATTGGAGTGGGAAATTGCAGTGCAAAAAATTCAATGTGGTCAGGTTCTGCTGCTTACAGGCAAAAGCAAAAGTAAGAGTAAGAGCTAGAGCTGATTCATAGGGAGCAAAATAATAAGCAGGTTTGGATCCCTAACTCCTGCTACTTGGTTACTTATTAAAAAGAAAGGTCTTCTTTTCTTCATTCTACCTTTCAAATACAAAGGATGCATCTACATGTGTACTTTACTGTGGACTAGCCTAGCTCTACAGTAAAACATCACCATCTACACATGCATGCGTATTAGGGTACAGAAAACTAATTAACTCACCCTAAGATAGTACTGTTGAGGACAGTACTATCTTACTGTCAAGGACAGTACTATCTTACAGCAGAGTAATTTCCTGCATTGACATGCATGTGTAAATGCTGACTGCAGGCATATAGTGTACCTGGCCAGCCCAGCCCAGCCAGCTGGGGACCTGTTTCACCCTGGTGCAAATTGCTGCTGTCTTAGGTGCACGTGTAGACATTGCATCCAAGAGCAATTTACTTTGGCTTGAACTGCTCTGGAGTTTATTGTGTCACAATAATTGCATGTGTAGATGCACCCAAAGTATTCCAGAGCATATTGTATGCAAGAACATATGGTATAATGAACTCCTCTACAGGATGCTATTATACACTATGCCGTTTTAGCTGTAGGGTAGTATACCACGAGACAACACCTTAATTCCAATACTTACCATCCAAAGATCTGTTATAAATTGCATAAGGCAATAGTGTAAGCACACATGAAGTAGAGTTTGGAGTTTTAGTGCTGTCTTAACTGACATAAGGACACAACTTAAATACTCCCTAAATATTTATGAAAAAGAATCAGGAGAATGAGTTAGAAACTGTCCCTGAAAGTTTCCTATCAAAACACTAACATATGTTTTAATTAGTGCCTGCAAATAGTTTGTAATAAATATCTTGTTTAACAAATCAGTATCTTTATGTGACTGCAGAACAGCTGTGCCTAAAACACCCTTTTCCTTTAGTGGTATAAAAAAACCCCTCTTAGAGTCTTTTAATTGGGCAAGGATGAACAAATTGGGCAAATTTGTCCTTTTCAGGAAAGATAAGATGTTGTTCAAGATGTCTTGAAGCTACAGTATTCAAGGAATCAAGATCAGACTTCAAAATCAGAGCTCACACACACACACACACACACACACACACACACAGAAAAAACAAAAAAGACAAAAAACCAAATCCCCCACAAACAGCAGAAATCAAAAAGGAAGCTTTGGTGCCAAATCTTATTTGCAACCTGGCTGTTGGGAAAAAGACATATACAGAACACAGTCTTATGCAGCCAATCTAACAAACTGGTGCTAAGGTGAGCCTATTTAAGACACCATTTTTACTTTTCTTTCTAGTTACAGACTTAAAGCAGCATTGTAAGAGATGCAGTCTTGCTTGGCTTGGCCAGATTTATTACACAGAAGGCAAAGAGAGAGAGAGAGAGAGAGAGATGGGAAAGACAGACATCTGACAGAGAGGCTGATAAAGAGCCCACAAGTCTCACACAGCAGGTGTTGGTCAGGAATTAGCTGAAGCTGGTGGAGGTTGCAATATCACTCTGACTTCATTACTGATCAGTTTGCTGGAACAAGAAAAGAAAGACATAACTGTGCCACATTGGACCATAGGGACCTAGGAAATGTTAAGTGCTATGATAGTAAAACTTGCTCCATTATGCTTATTAACTTCCTGGTATTAGTAACATATTATAGATCCCCCTCCTTCCCCCAAGTAGCCTGCTCCTATCATTCATCCTTTCCCTCTTCCCCCTTACCCGTACTTTCTGGCACACCAAGTTTGGGCCACAATTCTCTTGTTTGAGACATGAGCACAAACACAATCCTTGGACAAGATCAACAGGCATTTTTGTTTGGACAGATGCAGTAATTCTCTTTTACTGCCCCTTACCTGCTTTCTTGTGGAATAGATAGTCCATGGACAGACATTACATTTGTAGCATTATATACATCGTCATTGTGCAAAAATGTGTGTGTGTGTGTGTGTGTAGGGGAGGTGGTATGAACGCCACGTGCCTCTGGAGGCTGAGGGGGCACAGTGAGCTCCCACAAGCGCTGGCAGTGGTGGTGGTGGTGGGAGTATGGCAGTACTCAGATGTGGCCTCACCAGTGCTGAATAAAGGGGAATAATTACTAGGGCTGTGGTACAAAGCTTCAGATCATGATTCGGATTCGGAGATGATTTGGATGATTTGGAGGCCAAATCTATGATTCCGAATCAAATCGCTGGAAGCTTTAGGCTTTCCGAATTGATTCAGAAAAGATTCGGAAAAGATTCGGTGAGCATGACATGCACCAAATTTCAAGCTGATAGGTGCAGGGGTTTCTGGGAAACTGCACCTCAAAGTCCTGAAAGAAAAACTCATGTCATATGTGTGTGTGTTAAGCCACAGTGGGGTGAAAACTGCAGGGATGGTAGCTCCTGCTGAGGCCACAAAGCCTGCCAAGTTTCAAGGAGATAGGTTCAGGGGTTTGGGGGAAACTGTACCTCAAGCTGCTGACAAGCAAAACTCGTGACGTGTGTGACACTGTGTGTGTTAAGGTGCAGCAGGGTGAAAGCTGCAGGCCTGATAGCCCCTGCTGAGGCCACAAAGCCTGCCAACTGTCAAGGAGCTAGGTGCAGGGGCTTCTGGGGCCCTGCACCTCTGGCTGCTGACAGGTAAAACTCGTGTCATGGGTGCTTGTGGGACTGTGTCTTGGGGCATGGGGGGTGGGTAGGGTGGAAACTACTGCAGGCCTGGCTGCTAAGCTACCCTGCTACCAATCAATCATGATTCACTCAGGGACCAGCTCAATACACAGTAGCTTGGGAGGATAATGAGTTAATGAGCAAGGATTAACACCTACAAAACCACAAACTAAGGACAGAAAAGAATCAATACAGAGCCAGGAACTGCTTCTGCCCCAAGACAGAGACAGTCAGTTGCACAAGCACCCATGTCACAAGTTTTGCTTGTCAGCAGCCAGGGGTGCAGGGCGCCAGAACCCCCCTGCACCTATCACCTTAACAGCTGGCAGGCTTTGTGGCCTCAGCAGGGCCTAGCAGCCAGGCCTGAAGTAGTTCCCCCCTGACCCCTGCCCTGTGCCCCAAGACAGACATAGTTGCACAAGTACCCATGTCACAGGTTTTTCCTGTCAGCAGCTAGAGGTGCAGGGCCCCAGAAGCCCCTGCACCTATCTCCTTGACAGCTGGCAGGCTTTGTGGCCTCAGCAAGAGCTACCATGCCTACAGTTTTCACTCCACTTTGGCTTAAGACACACATGTGATATGAGTTTTGCTTTCAGGATATTGAGGTGCAGTTTCCCAGAAACCCCTACACCTATAATCTTGCAACCTGATATGCAGGATGCTTTCAGCAGCTTTTCAACTCCTTCAAGTTTCGTCTGAATCAGCTAAAAGACAACAAAGTTATAGATATTTCATTGATTCCCCATTATACTCTATGGTCAAATCTCTGAATCGGCGCCGAATCTTTTGAAGCGATTTGGCTGAATTGAATCGGAAAAATGATTCGGATCTCTAAATTGAATCTCTGGCATCCAAATTGGCCAAACCTGAATTGAATAGTTCCCTATTTGCTCAGGCCTAATAATTACTTCCCTTGACCTACTGGCAACACACCTACCAATGAAGTCCAGTATGCCATTTGCCTTCTTGGCAACAAGGGCACACTGCTGGTTCATATTCAGCTTATTGTCCACTGTTTTCTGCAGAGCTGATGCCCAGCCAGTCAGACTTCAGCCTATACCGGTGCATGGGATTTTTCTGTCCAAAGTGCAGAATTTTGCACTTGTCCTTGCAGAACCTCATGAGATTCCTCTTGGCTCAAATCCTCCAATTTGTCTAGGTCACTCTGAATCCTAGCCCTACTCCCCAGCATGTCTACTATTCCCCCCATCTTGTTGTCATCTGCAAACTTGCTGAGGGTGCACTCTATGCCATCTTCCAGGTTGTTGATGAAGACATTGAACAAAACCGGCCCCAGGACCAACTCCTGGGGGACTCCACTTGATACCAGCTGCCAACTAGACATAAAGCCATTGATTACTGCTCTCTGAGCCCAGTGCTGCCGACTAAACATTGACCCATTGATTAGTATTCTCTAACCCTGATGCTCCAGGCAACTTTCTTTTTACCTTACAGCCCATTCAGTCAACCTGTACTTCCTTATTGGATTGGTTTATTTCTATCACCCACAGTGGGGAAGTGGGCCGACTGTCCGTGATCTGGCTCACTGACAAGCTCTCTTCAGGGAAAAGGAGAGCAGAGGAACTGAAATGTAAACAACTTCATTAGCAAAGAAGTTGCTGGGCAGCACCTAATTTGCTACAGTAGGGTTACCATACATCCAGATTTTTCAGACATGCCCTCTTTTTGGGTCTTCCTATTTCTGTCTGGGCAGTTTTTTTAAATATCAGCAAGTGTCCAGGATTTTGCTCTGCCTCTGTTTTCCCAGCACTTCCTGGCTTGTCCCAACAAGGAGTTGCCTTGCTCTCATTCTCACTCTCACACACTCCCCAAGCCCTGGTCTTAACTGCTTGCAGCTGCTGGGGCCCTCTGAGTAGACACCGTGATGCCCCTCCTCCATTCCTCACAGCCCATGTGCATGTGTGCAAGGGGGATGGCTGCTTGCCGGTGCTGAGGCTGCAGCAGGGCAAGGAGGCAGGGGAGTTGCCTGCCCCTCCAGCAGGGGAAGGGGCTGGGGGGGCTCTTCAGGGGCAGCAAGAAGCTTTGTGGGCAGCAGAGATGGTGGGGGGAGTCAGGGGACAGGGGGCTGTGGGACAGGGGTGAGAGGCACTGGCAAGGCTGGAGAGGAGCAGGCAGCTGCAGGTTGGGAATGAGGGGCACTGGTAGGGTTGTGGGGGGCAAGAGGCTGCAGGTCAGGAGTGAGGGGCACTGGCAGGGCTGGGGGGCTGTGGCTTGGGAGTGAGGAGCACCAATGGGGCAGGGGACTGTGGATTTGGAGCACAGGACACAGGGAGGGCCAGGGGGCTCCAGGTCAGGAATGAGGGGCATCAGCAGGGATGGGGGGAGGAGCGGGGGCTGCAGGTTAGGAGTGAGGGGCACGTACATGGTTTGGGGGTGGGGTTCTGTTGGTCAAGAGTGAGGGGCAGCAGCAGGGCTGGGGGGGGGTGCTGTGGCTTGGGAGTGAGGGGCAGGGGCATATCACTGCCCCCCCAGGTCTTGTCTTTTTTGACACTGGAAGTATGGTAACCCTAGCTAAAGTTACCCTTCAAAGTTTGCATTTTATTCTCATGTCCTTTGTTTTCTTTGCCACACAGGGCAAAAAACTTGAACTTTTAAAATACAAAAATTAAACTCTGTCTCTTTCACCAGTAGTCAAAAAATTAATTGAGAGCAAAACAAAGGTTGCCTTTCAGTAGTCTATTAATACTTACTAAGGCTCAGCTAATTTGGACACCATAAACAATCAACTGATATTAACTAATAGCATCTGTGATCTAATATCACTTCCCTAAGACTCAGAGAAAAAAGTAATTACATCAGTACACAGCCTTCCTTTTCCCAGCCATACTGAGTAATAATTAACCATTTTGGATTTGATCTCTGACATTTCCAGTTTATTTTAAATAACTCCAGTTTTTGAAATAGGGTATCAGAGGGTGACTCAGTTATCCAAAGGCACTTCTCACATGTTCGTAGGAGAGCAGAGCTAAAAGGAACTTCACAAGGTCATCTAATTCAGCCCCCTGCTTGAGGCATCATCATCCCTGACTAAACTATCCAACTAGTCTAACCTACTCTTGAAAACTTCCAGGAATGGGAGCCCACAAATTCTGTAGGCAGCCTGTTCCAATGCCTGACCACCCTCATAGACAGGAAGTTCCTCTGAATCTCCAACCTAAACTTCTCCTACTGCAGTTTGAAGACATTCATCCTGTACCCTACAGCCAGAGATAAAAGGCTATTTACATCCTCTTTATAACCACCCTTCAGGTATCTGAAGACTATCATCAAATCCCCTCTCCAGTCTTCTCTTTTCCAGACCAAATAACCCCAATTCTGTCAGCATTTCTTCATAAATCATGTTTTCCAGACCATTAATCTTTGACAAAATTCTAAGAGACTAACCAACAACTAGAATATTATTACCTCCAGTATTCTGTACCATCCAGCTTTTCATCCAGCATTATTTGAAGTTACTAAAATAATTTCCCCTACTCTAGGTTAGGAAAATGC